TTATTTACCAAGCATCGGACAGACGTTATTTCACGTTTACAACAAAGGTCTTCCTAATGCAGCGTTTACTTTCACATTTTCGATGGAAAATAATTTCTTATGTAACGTTTTATATCACGTTTACGACGAAGGGCATTTTTTTGTGTAACATTTACGATGATATTTGAATATAATAAACAATAAGCATGCTCAAAAGCCTCATAATAATGACAAATTGTATTTGTGACAAGGTCATTGTATCGACCATAGAACTTGCGAATTAATGACTTGAAAAGAGACTTTTGATAATCTTGGTTTATCAACGTGTTTGTCAAGGACAATTCCTAGTGTAACGTTTACTTTTGCGGAGGAGGGCCATTCCTTGAGTAATGTTGATTTTTACATCAATGTTGAAGATGATTCCTTATTTACATGTAACGTTTACTTTCACATTAAGGATAGAGGTCAATTCCTTGTCTCTTGTCTAAAATTTACTAGTACTTTCACCTTTACGATGGAGAACAATTCCTGTGTAAAGTTTATTTTCACAACAGTCGCTATTTCAAACCTTTGAAAGATGATTGAATATTACAATAGGGCTTAATTATTTTAGTGGATACCATATCTCAGGTGAGAAGTGGGAGGGTGGTTATATAATGCAAAAAAAAAAAAAAGAAAGAAATAGTCGAGCTTATGATGAAAAATCTCGCCGAAAATGAAAGTTTTTTTTTCTAAATCAGATGGAGGTCTTTGGTATACTGGTTCCCAGAGAGCTACAGTTCTGGAGTCATCAGTTCATGCCAAAAATTAGCGATGAATAGCAATGTGTCCCCTTCTAAATAGTCACTGAGCTATGTTCCTCTTGCCAGCTGAAAATTGATTATGCCAGTGTTTAATAGTATCATTATAAAAGCAGGATAGCTCTATTTTTTTTATTACATTGGATACCTAACTTGGGGCTTGGTATTGTTGTTTGAACGACCACAATCTGTTCACCAAAGCTCTGTCGTGAAGCTGAATAGAGTGAATCATTAATCCTATCCTGAAAGAGGATCCAGTCTGTTATTGAACATATTTCCAGAAGGCATGTTTTTGCTTTTTTTTTAATTATTCGCTTCTCAAAATAACATGTTGGAGGATCTAGTATCCAAGCTTAAAAAAAAAAAAAAAAAAACAACAATATTGTTAAAATAAATTGATATAACTCTACTTATTCAAATTATAAGAGCTACATCTATTTGAGGAATTTTGTTGCAGTGTTTTTTTTTCCCCTCTCTTAAACAAAAATAACTAAAAGCGTCAGTACTTTTAACAAAGAAAACTAAAACTAGAGGTACTGTGAGCAATGAGCTCACTAAATGATACCCCCCGCCTCCCATATCGTTATAACTGATGACAAAGTCCATGTTTTGCCGTGGCCGGGAAACAAAATATGTGTCTGATCAAAAAGTAAAATAGGAGGTGAAAATGTAATAAAGAATGGTGAAAGTTTCATTAAATTTCACTCAGTGGTATAAGAGGAGTTGCGGATATCTCAGGTAACAGACGGACGGACGGACAGACGGACGGACAGACAAGAAATAATAGACGGAATTAACGATTACTATATACCCTCCCGCTTTTCAAGCGGGGGGTATAATAAAAATTTTAACGAAAATGAAAGGTTTTTTTAACAAATTTGCATAACGGGTGAAGTCTCTGGTTTATTGGTTCCCAGAGAGCCACAATTCTTACTAACTAGACAGTTATTCCTTATATTTCCATTTCATTATGAAACAAGCTAATTCAGAGAATTCGTGTCCCCCGCAAAATTAGATACTGAATTTGTAGAATTATTAAATGTATACATGTATCTAAACAAATAAAATACATGTATGTCAATATACATATAAAGATTTGATTGCTTATTATTCATTATGTGTATAGAAGATTTTTTTAATATGGAATTTTAATCACACTGTAATGATGACTTTATAACCTCATAAATTTTTCATTTCACATGCTGAATACTATCATTTAGTAAAAAAAAAAAAGGAAAAAAAAAAAAAGAAAGGTGCGACGGAGATTCGCTCCCGGGACTTCTCACATTTGAAGCGAGAGACATAACCACTAGACCACGGAATCGCTTTAAATGCTGTGAAGTATATGCAGAAGTGAAGTCACATTCATGTATATATTCATGTTTTCATGAGGTCTCAAAATTTTACACAATCCATGGTGTTTGATTTATTTAGCCTTTATTAAACAGTTCTAATAGATGTAATAAGAACATAAAGTCCGCCGAGAACCTGTTTTATGCAAATGCGCTAAAAATAGCGACATGTAATACTATAAATACTAATAAAACAAACGGGGCGGGGCACTTTGAGAGGGGCGAGAGACGTCCTAGGGAGTTTTGATATAAAATTACATTGCATCAAACTCTTCTTGAAAGATCTACCGTGAAATAATAGTGTTACACACAGACAGAATGTATAAATTTACGACCTTGAACTTTGACCTTTTGACCTCAAAATCAATAGGGGTCTTCATTAGGCCACAGGGAGTTGTTTTATAAAATCTCATTGCAACATCAAATTTCCAGATATCGTGTGGAAACAGTGTTTTTGCAGAATTTTTTTTTGAATTACCTTTTGACCTCAAAATCTTCTTTAGTCCATAGGGATATATAAATTTCATTGCAAAAGCTCAAAGGGTTCTCGAGATATCGTGTGGAAACGAAAGCGTTACAGACAGACAGAAATACAAAGATATTGTCCGAAATGCAAATGTGATGACAAATATGTGACTTTTTCCAAATTTATGTGACTTTTTCCAAAAAAATTATGTGGCGCAAAACATGATACATGGGGTAAGGGAGGTAAATCTCAAAACCTTTTGACGGACGTCCATTTTGTTGCGTATTTTTTTATGTGACACTTCTTTAGAGTGATTTTTTCATAACACTCATTTCTGCTAAAAAAAATCAAATTTGTATGTGACAGTCACATAAAACAAAAGAGTCACATAAATCTTTTTCACTTAGCCATTATTTCGTGAAACAAAAATAACTGAAAGCCCAAATTAATATCCCCCACTTTTCAAGCGGGGGAATAAAATTGTAATTTAGACTTTAAAAATGCAGACATAGATTTAAATAACAAATTATCCCAATGTCAATAGATGTTAATTTTCATATAAAATAACGAGATTTGCATGCATAAGTAGCTTCTGACCTATTGACCTGCCTAATTTACATTAGGTAAAATTATCAAGAAATTAACTCCGCTATTTTTCAAAGAGTTATTACAGAGAGAAAAATTAGAAATGGAAATATTAAGTAGTTGATAGGATTTATTTGAAGTTTGGCGTATATGGTTGCAGTGACATATATGACAAATCTGAGAGCGGTCGCCGGGTCGTCTCCCCAACAATCAACAATAAAGGTGACGGCCCCAATTTGGCTAAATATTGTGCACTGGGTAAATTCCACGAATGCATAAAGCCACGCAAAATGGATATAATGGGCCAATATTCCATTTACAATGTTATCCGGGTCAAATATATGGGCCAATATCCCATCAAAAATGTTATAATGTCAAATCAATACAATATGATTCAATGGGCCAATATCCCATTAACAATGTTATCAATATTAAATCAATACAATATTGTTCGCAATTAATATACAGTTTTTTTTACAATGGGTGGCACCTTCGCCATTCATATGTGGTATGCATACTCCACTAATTAAGTTATTTCAAATGATACCAAGGTCAATGACCTTGTGATGAGACTTTTATTTTTTTCGCCATATGTTTTGAACCATCAAAGATACAGATTTCATATTTGGGGGGGGGGGGACCTTGTGACTTTACAGACCTATATGCTAAAATAGCAAAATCCACACATATCTTATGCATACTCCACTAATTCAGTTCCTTCAAATGGCACCAATGACCTTGACTGTGACCTATATGCTAAAAATAGCTTTTTCGAACTTTATGGCCGCCGGGCGCATAGTGTTTTACAAACACATCTATTAATCTATCAACATATTTTTTTGCTATCGAAATTTACACAATCCACTTTTACAAACTTTTTGACAAATATAGCTATCAATTTAACAACTTCGACAAATACAATTTTGAATGGGTTATCTGAAGTTGGAACCTTCAATAATAGTCCAGTGACTGATGGAGTGTCCAGAAGAGAATATTGATTTCGTATTAATTCCTTGAGCAAATATCAAAACAGAATTATCTCCACTATAAACCCCTGTCACTAGGCATTCCCTATTTGCATAATCACATCTGGTTATTTTATTTAAATCCCCGAATAAAGACCATAGACCAACAAAAATCTCGCTTGATCATCGAGAGTGTCAATGAAAAAGTATGTCATAAATGAAGCTACACTAAGTCACAAAGCGATCTTTGTGTATCTATTGGTAAAACGGATATTTAAAGCACCCTAATCACCGTCAACGCTGTAGAAACCCCCCTCACGCACGGTAACTGCTACCCAATGGAATGGAATTTTTATAGACCAATTTAATTCACCAGCTTTTCTTTTAGGGTAAGTCACTTTTCATTTTTCTTAAGAAATAATTAGCTATTTGGCAAAAGATAGGGATATTAAATTTTTATTAGCTTTTTTAACCATAAGTTTTACATGGCGCATAAAAATATGTGAACTGATATAATTCAATACTGATTGCTCAATTTTCATATTTGAATAAAAATGATTCCATTTAAACTATCCAAATCGATTCCTTTTCCCAGATTTTATATTCAAACCATATCTCGATTTACCTGCAATATTGTGCTTCGGGTATAAAAGTATATATATAAATTGACTTTTTTCAATTATAGACGTGAAACTAAATGAATGAAATAAACCTGACACTCAATAACCCATATACTTCATTATGAAGACCAAAAGTCTCATCTGTTATTCTGAAAACGAGTTAAGCATCATTGAATCAATTATATAGCAAAACCAATCAATTCATTGCCCTAACGTAAGGTTTACTTTATCTTGAATTTCACATTTATTGCTTTATTTGGTAAATGTCGGATCTAGTTTGAATTTGCTCCTTGGATTTCACTGTAAGTATACATGTACCTTTTTTGAAATGAAAAAATATCTGCTATAATATTGAAAAATTAGATAAAAAAAGAGAGTAGTTTTGTTGTTAAAATCAAAACCTAAGTTTTCTTTGAGCTGTTGCTATCATCAATAATGTCACTTTTGAAGATTGAGATTTAGAAAGATATATTTAAGTATTTCAAGGTACAAGTCTACATGCAAATCACAAAGTTTTAAAAGGCTAGAATTGCACGCCTAATCCAATTTATTGAAAATGGGATTTAACATTTCATTTTACACTTTAATTTCTTTAATTTGATAAACGAGTATTATTTTAAGCGTTAATGTGCACAACGAATTAGCAGGTAAAATTACAGGAAATGAAATTTCATAAAAGGAACGTTTATTTTACAATTTCTCCTTTGATTGATACCATAAACCAACCCCCAAGGGTTGCTGATAATCAAAATTTCAATGTTCTTATATCAAGCTCATTAGTAGATTACTTATAAGGTGAATGGCACTATGTCAACAGTGTATAAAGATTGTATTCAAAACTGCACTGGATTATCAAAATTACCCTTGGTCCAATAATGCAAGGTCTTTGTTCAAGTTCACAAAGAACAAGAACATTCACATTGGATATCAGGTATTGAAAACGGTGCATTGTGGTAAGAAAATTATAGCTTTGGCCTCCTGGATCTTACAAATTGAATAAGTGAAAGATGTATTTCTTGATAAACATTTTCATGTTAATTAACACAACAACAATTAAAAATGACACTCGCACAATGCTAGTACTTCGAATACCGAGTCTGAAATCTACGGTAAAAAAAAATTCTCTCACAAATCAATTGAATTATGCCGGGTTCTTCGTTTTATTGATTTTATATGGCAGACACTTCTGTTTTGCTTGGTTACAGGCTCATAAGAATAAACTCTGATTTCAGAAAAGAGGATCAGTTTTGTTTCACAACGAACTTTTGAACACCTGCCTGTGTACCCCTCCCACCTCTCTCTCTCCCTCCCCCCTTCTCTCTCTCAGAGAAATCTAAACGATTTTTTTTAAATTGAGGATCTAAATAAAATTAATGAATGTAACGTTGCAGTGACAACGCCACAGGAAGTCGTGATAACGAAGTTTTGTTCAAGATACGTGCACTCTTGAAATTCCATTAATTTCAAATCAAATCTTTCAAGGTCCCTCAATGGTTTTCCTGATTTTTCAATTGGTTATATAGGCCTAAGTAGTAATATTCTTAGGCCCCACTCAACCTGAGATACATGTATACAATACCTTTTATCTGTAAGAAACTTTCACTATGTCATCAGTGGGCTAATAAGATCAAAGAAATCAACAAAAAGTACCGAATTAACTAGCTTTTTAATATCTACCACTTTCAAAAGTTCTATTCGTTCTGATATTTGAAAAAAAATCGCAAATACATTCTTTTAAAGTTAAAGAAATATTTAAATTCTAGGCTCTTCTTGTACGAGAATTTATCTCGTACAAGTAAACAAGGGGATAGTAAGTCATAATATTTATCCGAGTTGTCAAGCTATATACGTACATTAGGATGGATATCTTCTGTAGATCATTAGTTAAAACATGAACCCATGAAGACAAAGTGTACCCTAAACTTGTTAACTTTGTTGATATTTGCAACCCCCACCTTACCCCTGCTTGAAAAGCTTTCCCATTATACCCATAGAGAGGGGGAATATATTTATTAGTGAGCAACGAAAGATTTTGAACTGTGAATTATAGCTCCTGCATGACCACAAAGTGTATAGTTTCAAGATATTTAAATCTACAATTTAAAAAGTTTTCATACTGATTTGATAAAATGAAGCTCATTGTCCTCAAAATCGATATTAGTTCCTGTGTCAAGTCTGAACTTTTTGTGACCTCTGTCATTACCCCCATGGTATGAAGCTCATACTAGGAACACAATCAAATATTCGGGACGAAAATGATGTTGAGATAAAGTAGTGATTAACAAGATTTGAAAACAAGTTATTCCAACTTTAGTAACCTGAAGATAGATTACTCAGTATGTAACATATACATGTAGACTTTAATTTGACAACCAAACGCAACCCCTTATCCAGTGATGCTTTTCTTCGGTAGAAAAGTACGAAGTTAAGCATAGTTCGACAAACATTTAAGAACATTTTAGTTTCTCAAAGAACTAAAGTTAGAACTTACCTTATTTTGCAGATCTTTCACAATGGGTCTGGAAACCAAATTATTCGAAGGAGATGTGGATGAGTCTTTCATTTGCAAATTGTGTCACAAGGTGTTCCTAAATCCGGTGTCTTCATCTTGTAAACATTTGTTTTGCAACAACTGTATCCAAAAACGTTTCCAGTATGAAACACTGAAACACTGCCCGATTTGCAAGACAAAGTTTACAGACAAGCTCACGCAACCTTCCAATGAGTTCAAGCTTAAGTTATTGCAGCTCAGGATAATGTGTAGCAATAAATGTGGAAAAGTGGTGCTTTTGGGTGAGCTTCCAGATCATGTGAGTGACATGTGTCCCCATACACCCGTCACGTGTCCTTTCTACGGGAAAGGATGTCGAAAAAAGATTCGGAGATGCGACATCAAACGCCATCTAAAAGAGTGTGATTTTCGTGAAGTGGTCTGCGAAGCTTGCGGCTACACTACTATTTTTCGAGATTTGTTTACGCATCAAAGCAGGACAAAGTGTTTAGAGAAGAAACTTAAGCAGCAAATAATTCGTGAGTTTAGACATACAAATAGAGAAGTTCGTCGTCATAAGTCACTTCTAAATAGGCAGCACGTAAAGAGGGACATTTTACTGAGACAAAAAGAGCTTGAACACAGTCGAAATCTCCAGAGCAGTCGCTTGTCATCCAGTAGAAGGTTTGGGTCACTGGAAAGTTTGGCCAATAGCAATACCAGCACAAGCGTGTTCTTAACAGAGAACGTTTTGCAGAAGTGCTTCAAAGGGGGTCAAGGTCAAAGTGGCAGTTCCCTCGTTTCAGATTCCACGTCCGTCGGCAGCCGTGCTCCCCTCCCCTCTAGATCAGGGCATAATGTGTTCGAATGTATGCGGTGTAAAAAGCTTTTCAAACCACAATACAACCATGAAGGTGCCTGTAGATGGCATCAAGGGGTAAGCAAAAAGCACTTCTCTGGAATTATTAGCATGATTAAATCGTCGTTAAAGCTGCATTAAGCTACGTATTTATCTCTCCACTGATATATATTTTAAAGTTCTTACTTATTGAAATTTTCAATTTGAATTAATTTTCATTATTGCAATATATTTTTTTTCTTTTTCATAATTTGATCTCCGACAGCCGGTAAGTATATTTTTTTCTATATGCAATTCAGTACGTTTATGCCCTATGCAGTGACTCTCTTTGCATTTCAACTATGGGTTACTATGCCTAAAATTGAATTTTGATTAATGAATATGTTATGTAAAATGTAAGGAAAAAATCTACTCTGAATATAAATATACGTATTCAAAATACACTAGTACTGATCATTAAATTCCCAGCGTCCATGCAATACAAGCTTTAAATCCAAGGATTTATTTTGATCTTTAATCAAATACAGAAGGTGCAGAAAAGGAGTTTTGCAAGTAATACCGTGGAATTGTATCGATTTTCTATCCGGATATCCTTTTACAGGCGATACAAGCACGAATTCTTCTAAAATAATGTTGATTTATATCTCAAATGTCATGCCTATCATTGGAATGACGTTTCCCCTTTCTTATTCTAGCAATGAAAGTACGAAAAAGATATGTTCATTTTATAAATGTTAGCCTCTCCAAAATCACACATTCATTTATTTTGCATTTGGTCCTATCCAAATACATTAAGAGAGAAGCAGAATTAAAATGTACAAAGTTTTTTTAAAATCATCTGACAGAAAAAAAAAACCTTTGTTATAATACACGTAGGAATAATGCAATAGAGAGTTTTAAAATTAATAAAAGCACTTTCAATCGCAAGATTTAAACAATTTGGACTGCTTGCACCTTCTCCATATATCCGGGATATACCTTGGCCTCAAAAATGGTGCATCTATTACTATAATTGATGAGTCGATAAACGAGGCGATTTACCAAAGAGCCACTTGTGAGATATTGACAGATATGAGTATTTTGTATATTTAACCTTTTCCTTTACAGCAAGAAAAATTATTTTAAATGTCATTTACATTAATTTAACAGGGAGTGCAACATTCACTTGTGTTTAAATAATGTTGTGGTGAACCCAATTCTAGGGGTATTCAAACATAATAACTACGTATCAATACTTATACAAATTCACAAATTAAATGTCTTGATGGCAACGGGTTGTCAATAATTGTGGAGACCTTACAATGTCAATATTTTTCTTTTTTTCATATACATCAACCTGTTGTACCTGCATGTAGATTGTAAGTATATTTATACAAACTTTGATGGTTCAAGTGGGTGTTATAAATCGCAGAAAGTAAACTTTGACTCGGGTGTTTTCAATTTAAGACAAACACGTATACATCAAATCCGAGTGACATTACTTCAATATAGAATAAGCCAAAACTTTCAAAACTAGTGCTTTCAATAGAAAACTTAAAAGGTTTTTTTTTTTTGAAAAACCTGCTGACAATTGAATTAAAAGCTTATTGAAAAAAGCTTAGAAACAGTAATGCTTTAGTAAACTGATCTTCATAAATTACCTGTAAACGAAATGCTTTATTGAAATAAGATTTTTAAACTTTCAGGTCCAAGTATTTGTAAGTAGTGATACCTTACTTCAATTTTTATCCTTTATGTGAAGAGTTTTTTTTTTTTTACTTTATTTAAAGTTTCTGAAGATTTTTCTTTAATAACACGTTTATATAAAGATTCTGTGACAGCAAAACAAGAATTTCAATATTTATGACATTTACTTTTTTATTCTCTTTCATTTCACAACTGATTGATCTCCATCTACGAAAACAGGGTGTAAGTATTTTAACTTTACTTTATCAATGAATCATTCAATCATCTAGTACCTCAAAAATATGTACATGCATTATCCTACATGCAGTTCATAATTTTTCAAATTTTATTTTTCATGCTTTTCAACTACTTGGAATAACAGGGGGTAAGCTAACTTTTATGTTCTTCATGTATAACAGGATTGACATTTTTTATTAATTGTTTATATGTATTCTGTTTGATAATATATTTTGGATTCTTTTTAACTTGCAGACTTGTTATGGATGTGGAAAAGTGGATTATTCTCGAGGCTGTATGTCTGGATTCCACCAAGCTTAGTGTTAGAAGTGGAATAGACTTTATTTATAACTTCCTTAGCATACATTTGTAAATTAGAAACAAAAGAATTTTTTTCCTTTTTTTCAATTCTGACATGTTATTATCATTAGACAGTGAGTAATATAACATTAGTTACTCAACCCAGAAGTATTTCTTTTTTCCCAATTATAAAGAACAAGGTTCACTTATGGCATTTTTTGGCCCTGTAAACTTCTAAAAAATTGAAACTGCTTAGTTTCAGTTGACAATGCATTGAATATCATTTAGACCTTTGGCAAATTGAGAAACTATCAAAAATGACATATGTTTCTTGCTAGTAAAGTAAATGCAGTATGATGTCATGATTGGCATCACTTTCTTCATAACCTGAAAAATGCTACTAAAACAGCGGATTTTTGAAGCTATTTTCCAATATTTCATATAGAGCACAACCTCTGATCTTTAAATTTGTAATGATCAAATGTTAGAACTGTTTCTGAGGATTCCAAGACACGTTTCATTTTTTGGATCAAGGATTGTGCTCACATTATTTTTTATCTCTGAAAGTACTCGACTATACCAGTTTTTCTTAAAAATGCAATTACAAGAACATTGAAATTTCATAGAGCATGTTTTCCTATAATGTTTCCAGAGAAAATTTTTAACTGGAAATGAAAGCAGTCTCTACTTTATCTTGATGTTTGAAATAGAACATAGAATGTTAGTCCATAAATTGGTATTTCTATAGGGCCATTTTAAGCATGAAGTGATCCTAGCTCTTTCTATGCATTTCTAATTTTGTAAAGTATGCGTTCTTTTCAAACACAAGCAAAATTTTCCTCCCTGCAAGGTGAAGCAAATAGTTTATCTGTTTGATAATAATGACATACTTGTTTTACATGTACGAATTGTACTGCTAAGAAATCCCAGCTAATGACTCAAAGACACTTTATTTATTACAATGTCAATATACCATATCCAGAATTTTAAAATGGAGAAAACACATCTTTTTAAACTTCATTAGTTTACCATAAGAAAGCAGTATTAAAACATTGCAATAGGTTCATCAAAGTTGTAAATCAACAATAGGTCACCCACTTAAAACCTACATTCAATAGCTGTATCAAACAAAATAAACAGCAAATGAACAATTTGGAAATTGTGATTTAATAAGATACTTAGCTTTTCAATTGCTAAGGGTAACAAATTATTTTGATTCAAAAAACATGATTTAATGTTGCACCTTTAGAATGGAGTTGCATGGCATTTACTCAATTAAGTTATAGTGGTAGAGGTACCAGCATGTTCAGGAATCAAATACCAGTTATTAAAAGATGACTGCAAATATTATTTTACAAGATTTATTATCATACATGATACATATAATGAGATGAATACCATTCATACCAAAGTTACTTCACTATTTTATAAAAGAACAGTTTGTCTCCCATTTACCCTCTATATTGAGATCACATGTACAACAAAACGTATCCAATTAAACCTTGTATGACATACAATGTATATGAAATTCTTCATTGTGTTAATGTTTGAATTGCTGCTTTGCAATATACCACAGTAGTAGTTTTTTAATATAAAAATTGCAAAAACAGGAGGAAAACCACATTTTAAAACAAAGTAACAGGTTTTTTTTTCTCTACAAAGCATGATATAAAAATGTCCACTAATATAAGACTATACTTTTATCTACATAAGTAATACCATAACATAGGTAAAACAACTGAGTCCGAGCAGAGTTCTCTAACTAAAATTTGTTTTAAAAAAAATTTCATCACACACGTATACTCCAACTAAGTTGGCAGTTCATCCACTTCATCAAGTGTATAATTGAGAAATTTATCGTGTCCTTCAAAAAGAAAATATCCTCGGAATTTTGTCCCGCTTAAAAACAGTGGAAACCAGAGGATGTCGTCTGGCCACATAGTGTCAAAAGGAATGTCCTCAACATTAAACCACTTAGGCCTCATCTCTGAAGAACACCAAAGGAAAAATAAAATTCCAGAATGTTTAAAATGGAGAAAACACAAGTCTTTAACTTCATTACTTTACCATATATGTCAGAAGGTGATGATTTTCTATAAAATTAAGCATTTTCAGTAATATTTCAATTCCCACTCTGGGACCTAAAACCTTCAGTAGAGAATCATAATTTGAGCACTAATTGTTCATCGTTATCAAGGGAAAAAAAATCCTGCTGTGCATCTTATTATAAGCAGTAAAAGATTTTTGAGAAAAGAAGACTTAGTCCAAACCAAGGACCTAGACCCTGTTTGCAAATTAGTCATGGATTTCACAAAAGGGTGGGGGGCTCATTTGCTCATTCTCATAAATACACTTTATCAGTTAAAATGTTTGCTTGCTAGTTTTCCAGAAAAAAAGGAAGGTTTCAAAGATGCTTGTGCAATTATTAATATCAGTAATGAACTTGAAGGGCACATTAAGATTTTTTTATATTAAAAAGGCACATAAATGTTAAAAATTTCACAATTTCGTTGGGATAGATGCATTTTACCCAATTAGGATTCATGTGCACTAGTTTCACAGACGAACCTTGCTTACTCTTAAATTTGTGAATGATAGCAAAAGGTCATCTAAATGAATCAGGTGACCTTAAAATTTGATCCAAATAAATTCCTTCCCTCTTCAGATTAAAACATTGGTTTTAAAATTTGCATCAAGTAAATTTATTCCTTCTTGAGTTTAAACCTTGGCCAGTAAAAGATAATATAATTTACCTTAGATATTTCAAACACAGATATCTTAAATACTACGGATTTGTAAAAGTGATTTTGAAGTCCCAACCACTTTTTCTTTAAGAATTTTACCCTCGATACCTCGAATCCCAGGAAGTTTTAACTTTCTAGGTCCTATCAAGTTTAAGGGAACAAAATTTTGCTTTACTTCCCTAGCACATCTTCAATTGCATATTTTAAAAAAACATTCAGTCAAATCATTGCATACCTGGGCTTTCTGTTGGTTCTCCCTCAAATTCAGTTGAAGTGAAAATGTGGACTTCTAATATTTGTGGATCACCAACAAATTCAAAATCAATTGTTCCAATCTTTGTCAAACTGTCTGATTTCAGACTTGATTCTTCAAAAAGTTCTCTTAAAGAAATAAAAGTAATGCTTGTAAAATATGTGTGTCTTCTTAGATTTTTCCAGAAATCAGCAACACTTCCTACATCAACTTTAGCTGCAGATCTGTAGCGTTATGGCTTTATATACCAGTATTTGTCTTTGACTATAATGCTACAGATCCAATAATGCAAAAAAGGTGCAATTTTTGAATGTAAGGTCGAATTTCAATCTTACGTTTTCCTTACGTCTGCTTCGAATTGTACCTGCCCATTTCATTGTCTATCATTGAATGATTTGATTGTAACAGATAGAAATGACGTAAGCTGCATATTTCTAATATTGCCAGTTAATGTTCCACCATCTTATCTAAAACCATAATGATACAGATCTGCAGCTACATCACTTATGCAAAGTTTTTCTTACACAAAAATGGATCAATTTTTTTTATAATGGTAAAGGGAAAAATTACAAAAAAAACATTCACTGGTAAACCCTCAATTCAAAGGAACTGTTTCTAAAAAAGTTACACACGCAAATGCTGTAAACAAACAAAAAACAAACACTGATTCCTACCTTTTTGCAGCCTCTAAAATGGTTTCTCCTTTCTCCACCTTTCCCCCAAATCCATTCCATCTTCCTTTACCAAACCCTCTTTTCTTCATTCCCAGCAGAACTTGACTGGGTCTGGTAAGGAGAACCAGGGTAAGGAGCTTCTTTAAAACCATGAGGAATATCTGAGTAAACCAATAGATTTATCATATAGATAGTTTTTAATATGGATCTGTAGTTCTCTGCTTTATCTGTCCAAATTTTCTCAGACAGAAAGCTACAGTTCTGCAACTAACAAATTATCTGCATGTGAGCTGTTTATCAGTATAGAATAGAATTTATTACCAAAGTACTTATAGTAGGGCCCATTGACCATAAGCATTTAACATACATAATTACAATTAAACATATGATAATGTAATAGACAGAATACAACATATGAGCAATATTTTACCATTAAGTATACATGTATACTAGTATATATTGGTGGCATTTTTAAGTTTCATATGTAGACATGGGTTGTTGTGCAAAACATATGTGCATTTATATTTTTATTATTTTTAAATATACACATATAATTGATCATGTGGATGTTTCTATAATTTTACAACTCTTTAAGTCCTGTTTTGACCAAGACACATTTAATATTGACCGGATTCTTTATTTGTTGTAGAACACTGATAGCCCAGTTATTGAACTGCCAACCTCGTGCCATGCTTGCTAGTGCTACATCCGAAAATACTCGGTCTACTGTATAGAAAATGTCCGAGTAAATTCGAAATCAGCAATATCGCAACGTCAAAAAGATAGTTCTTCTTTAATCAGCCCAATACCTTTACACGTGAGACAAAAATGGATAATGATATCAATGAAATCTGATGAAATAGAAATATATACCTTATTTTCGTCTGTTGTTTACAATTTTCCCGCAAATTTCGTTTTCCCTTCATTGAAGAGTTCAAGATCAATCGGAACACCTCTGTCTTTTTTTAGTTTCAAGACAGACAGAGTTGTCCCGCTTTGCACAGTGTGACTCGGTTGCATTTACCGGTTGATCATGTTGATCATCGAGATGACAATAATTAAAAAAGGCCATTCTTACAAAAGAATTTACTTAGAAGCATGAGTAAGAGACCTACCCACGAAATTTTTGTTTTGTCAATGACTCTAAATTTGTGCATTATTAAATAATTCAGCTATATATTTTTTCAATTTTTTTTCAAAGCAGACTGGCAGGAATTAATCTCTCATTATCAAGAATATATATATATATATATATATATATATATATATATATATATATATATATATATATATATATATATATATATATATATATATATATATATATATATATATATATATATATATATATATACGTATTGACATTTTTATATTTTATGTATGTCAGATGTAATCATAAGCACATAATTTTGAAAGGGGTTTAACTTTATAATACACCTTTTCTGAACCTATCTTTTACAGTTAAAAGCAAATGCTACAATAATTTCACGGGCACCTGCCGTTACCTTTTTTTCTTTTAAAAATAAATACACCCCTAGGCTACCTAACATATTATAAGGTAGGGGTGTATACATTTTTCATTAAAAGTAAAATAAGTAACGCCAGGTGCCTGTGAATAATTAAAAAAAAATAAGTAACGTCAAGTGCCTGTGAATAATTTAAATTGATCATTCAAAGCCTGTCGAACCCCCATATTTTTCCCCATTACAACAGAGTAAAAAATTCCACATATTGATATATTTTTAAAAATCATGTAAATAGTTTAACCCTCAACCTCCCCACAGGATTGGGGGGGGGTATTAATATGAGAGATATTACAGAGTTATAGGGGGATAAATCCATCCAGGTTCCATTATACTAACGGGAGCCTGTTTTTGGACTCGGTGAGAACTCAAGTTTAATTGCATGACAAAGAAAGTTTAATTCAATGTTAAGCATTAATTTTAATTGAGAATGCATCATGCATATATAAATAACGATGAGATGGAACATCTTTTTTATGCACCGGGATTGAGAGATTCCGGTGGTACAATGTAGATTGTTTTCGTCCTGTCTGTCTGTCTATCTGTTACCTAGCCCATATAACTATTGCCCTATCAAGTGTAATTAGGCTTTTTATATTTGACGCGAGTGTTCATTATGACAAGACCTTTCCATTGGTACAGAACTTTTATGCGCCCGTATTGATAAATCCGGGGCGTACTGTGAAATCACATATTTTCGAGGAGACAAACTTTCGAGGTTTGCGGAAATAATATTGGTTCGTGGGGATTTAATTTCGTGGTAGGAGTATGTTTAGTAATAATGCATATAGAATGTAAATTTTCTGATGGTCAAGAATTCGTGGGTCTCTCCATGCCTCGAAAACAACGAAAATTAACCCCCACGAAAATTAGTGATTTCACAGTATATTGTTTTTGTCCTGTCTGTCTGTCAACAAACTTTATCCTTCGTCATAACTTTTGAACCATGAAAGATGGAAACTTCATATTTAGTATGCATTCTCCATTAATAAAGTTCTTTCAAATGACAACAAGATCAATGACATTGTGTCCTTGACTGTGACCTATATGCTAAAATTAGCTTTTTCTGCAAACTTTAACCTTCACCGTAACTTTTGAACCATGAAAGATCAAGACTTCATGTTTGGTATGCATACTCTACTAATCAAGCTCTTTCCAATAACACCGATGTCAATGACCTTGTGACCTTGACAGTGACCTTTATGCTGAAAATAGCTTTTTTTGTCTTCAAACTTTAACCTTTGTCATAACTTTTGAACTAATAAAGATAGAAACTTCATATTTGGTATGCATACTCCACTCATTAAGCCTTTTAAACGACACCAAGGTCAATGACCTTGTGACCTTGACTGTGACCTATCTGCTGAAAATAGCTAATTTTTTTAATCTTCGTTGCCACCGGGCACATAGTTTTTCACAAATTCATCTTGTTTTATCATGTGACTTCACTGTGAGTTTTGACCTACATTTGAAAAACTTCAGAATTGTGTTATATTTCCATCGGGGACATTAAGTATTTTACAAACAAAATCTTGTTTGTTTTTTTAACTTCGATAGTCATGCTTTAATATCAGCAAAAACTAGTGTATTTTAGTTGCACATTGAGCATAGCATGAAAATATATATACAAAGCAAAGTCTATACAGCATTTTTATTTAAAAATGCATTCAGTTCCATTTGATGTTAATTGTGGTGGTGATATTTTGCAAGTTACTGTAAGGAACACATGAAATATGGATTCAAGCTTCAAAATTCATTAAAACAATACAAATCAGGAGCAGAGCATATATCCATATTTAAGGTCAGATGAATTTATTTGTTAATGAACTCAGCACCATCCATTGAATTCTATGAGTTTAGCTAGTTCATAGCATGTCCAATATTTTATTTATAACCACATACTCAGCAAGGTCCATTGAATTCCATGAGTTGAGCTCTTTAGTGTGTCCGTCACTTTGTAGATAACAATGTACTCAGCATGGTCCAATAACCACAAATTAAACATTGTTATTGTACATTTTTTTGTGAGTTTATCTATTTAATGTGTCCATCACTTTGTTAACAATAATGTACGTTGAGCATGGTCCAATTGATTCTCTGAGTTTAGCTAATAAAGTGTCCATCACTTTATTGATAACAATGTACTCAGTATGGTCCATTGAATTCTGTGACTTAAGTCTATGTGTTTGATCACTTTGTTAATAAGAACTCATCAGCACTGTCCATTGAACTCTAAGTTTAGCTACTGAGTATCTATTGTGTCCAATTTGAAGAAAAGGATGTAAAAAGTTCTGATGAGTCCTGACTTTTTAGTTTCTTCATTACGACTACATCAGGCTGCATCCAAACCTTACTCTGTGCACTATTGTTGAAGCTTATTTGTCTTCAGACAATATATTGATGGCAGTCTATCTGTAAAGAAAAAAATCATGAGGGATTAACAAAAATATTTATAAAGAGCTCGGTTCACTTTTAAAATGCATAATATGACCCTGGACTTATATCAATCAATTAAAAAGTATCACCCTTTTTCTCCATTTCATATATCAAAATAAAGTAGACACTTGGTGCTTTCATTTCCTGGAAGAAAATTTCTTTTTTAAAAATAAAGATATTGGAAAACAAGCTTTGAGAAATTGCCATGTTCTTAAAATTTGCAGAAAATATGCTTATTTGACTACCTTCAGCAAAGAATTAAAATATGAGCACAGCCAACGATAAAAAAATAAAACTGTTTTTTGATCCTCAGAAACAAATCTTTCATTGTGTATTAGCATATTTTGGATCAGAGGTTGTGCTCTATATGAATAAGGCCCAAAGTGGTTCTTGCTCTTTTATTATATAAATGAAAGAGCTTTTAAACATATTTTCACACAGTAGAATGGAGTTTATAGAGCTTGTATCTTAGGCCATCTTTAAAAAATTGTTAGTTTCCCTCTCCTGATTGGTCTGAAAATATTGGGGCGGTAGATAGGTGAGACATTTTTTTTCTCAGAAAATTTCAATTTCAAAGCTATTTTTTTATTCTATGTCCAGAGTACAAAAAAATTAATATGCTTCTTGAAGGTTAAAAAGTTTTGAGTTGGGTTTTTTTTACATGTAGCTAGTCGGTTGGGAGAGAACAACCAAAACAATTTTTCAAAGATGGCATTACCTTTATGTTCAGGTTCTAGTTGATTTCTTTGGAGTCTTTCTAAATCATGGCGAGCTGCTTTTGGAAACAGGATCAATGCCAGCATAAACCCCTACCTCTTAACAGAAAAAGACACTATAGGAGTCCCAAGAAATCAGAGTAATAAAATCTATTCTAATTCACATAATGAAAAACCTTGAGCTTGACAACTTTCTTACCATCAATTTAGGGTACACAGTAAGAAGTCCGTACTCTCTGAGGTCTTGTTGACAATTTGAGGTCAGTCTCATCTGCCTGTAATCAAAGAAAATCCAAAGATCATTAAAAATGATGGAGAAGACCTTGTGCCAAAATGTTCACCTTGACCTTGGTATCAGAAGAAAAAAATCTTAATTCAAATTTTCGCTTAGCCCCAAGGGATCACAATGTAACATAATTTGAATCAATGCATCTTTGGGATGCTTCAGTTTTATTGCCAGTAACATGGACCCATGATTTGAACAAACTTCAATAACAAGTACAGGGAAAAATTTGAAAATTGCCGAAAAGATCATTTTACTCACTCCTTAATCAGATAGTAGCTGCAGGACAAAGCTTGGCAATGGACTCTTCTTCTTCTCTTGGTCAGCACTGGTCTTTTCCCTCTTCCTTTGTCAAAGTCCTTCAAAATACATAATGGAGAGAAGATAAGCGATAATTCAATGCAATGTAAAAATCACAAAATTTCAAGTGAATGTTAAAAAAATTATTTAACACTTCATACAAGACTCTTCGATGAAAATAGTGGGTCCTGATGATGTTCATTAGGTAAAAAATAATTAAGAAGCAAAGCCTAAATCTTACTGTGCATTCTTCTCGTGACTGTAGTGGAATGGGAGAGGGACTCCTCCTTCCTAAGAATTCCGGATCACTTGTTATCTTCCCCTGATATAAAAGATAAAGCAGAGACATCAGAGGGGGAACCCTTGCACTTCATATCAAGTGAAAAGCTTTTACAACAAGCTTGTTACTTACCACTTTAGAAAATGTTGCCTGTAAAATGCAGACAGGAAAAGGACTCTTCTTTTATTAATTGGTCTCGGTCCTCTATTGTAATCCTGTCAATTGAATTTCAAGAGGTTTAAGCTTAGTACAGCCAACATAAATTGGCAAGCAGAGAGATAGGAAAGGGTGCAAGAAGTAAAGTTTGATCTTACCATGCTTTCACATGAAACAGTTCAATATGGAGAGGGCTCCTCACTTCAGGATCCTGGTCAGCCTTAACTTTCTTCTGCTTAAATAGAGAAAACAGGGACACCAAAGGGGGTCACTTG